TGAAGGCTTTTAGCCAAAAACTGGCGATAATTAGGCTTGAGAAATGGTCTGCAAAACTGCCAATATAGAACTGATGCATTGTAAACTAGAAAATAGTATCTGAAAATAAAAACATGAAATAAAAACAAATAAAAATGATTTAATTTACAGTATATCTTGGGTATATCTCTAAAAGCCAAGTAATGGCTATTTATCATACAAGGTTACTGTCCTTATAGTTGAAGCTATACTATAATGTATGGACAAGCTAATTTACCTTGGATTTTTCTTAGAGAAGTTGATGGCTTTTAGCAGAAACTCYACAGCTTTATCAAGTTGCTCCTGTTATGAATGCATCAAGCAAACTAATTAGTAAATGAGCGTGCAATGAGAGATCCTTTTGATCTAGTATACCCAATAGATAATAAATGCTAACACAGGGATCCCAACACTAATAAAGTCCAACAATGCCGTAACAAATGTAGGGGTACACATAATTCTTTTTTATAAGTGAAATAACAGTATGTACATACTGGGTTTTTTGATGATGTTGGTGCATTAAGCTGGGCTTGGCAAAGGTATGCCCTGCARAAGAACTGATTTGACGGTGGTGTCTTCATGAAGAACATTTTGATGCAGTCATCTGCCATTTCTGTTTGTCCGAGCTGTGAAATGAGAAGCAATGGGGATATTTATCAAAAATATTTATATCATAACGATAAATTTCATTAGTGTCATTGGTATTGTTTAATAAAACTTAATTAAGCTTAAGCTAAAACTTCATTTTGATGTAAACAAACAAAAGTGTCACTTTTTAATACAAAATTTTAGGAATTTTCATTTGGTATTTAGTATATTCAAATATTGAAAGATTAAATGCTATATTACTACTTACGTTAAAAGCAGTTTCGGCACAAAGAACGAAAAGATCTGGCAAAACTGCATCGACGTTCGTGCTCGTWGTTTGGCGCTCATTTTTGAGTTTTATGTAAGCCTCATTCAGTGCTTCGTTGTTATCTTCAGCTGAGGCGACGTGTATGAGATTCCTTATGTTATGGTCCATTTTARATAAACTTTACTGGCTTCAAATTAGAAGCGTACAGTAAAATTTTGGCCGTTTCAATGCAATGTCAAAAGCCCATCGTCCGCCATCTTGAATCTGTTCCTCGTTACTATAGTAACCAAAAGCGCGGGAATATTTTTTTAAAAGCACGCCTTGTTTTCATTTATCCAGCGAAAAACACATTCCTTTTATGTTTAGGGTTGATTCGGATGGTTTAAAAGAATGCTACCTTACCTAATTTTAAATATCAACTTTCCTTTCAAGAATGTGTTTGGCGAAATGACATTACGTGTTGTAAGACTAACTGTATGAAAAATAATGGATAAAGTCATTGAATGGCCCGTAGTCCTCAATGAGGTATAGCCACTTTCCGTGATGTATATGAAATTTCCCTTTTTTCTTTTATTTTGTTCTGTTTTTCTCTGTTTGTTATGCGGGGTTTTCGCGGCAAATTCAAGATACTCACGTGACTCAACGAGTGAGGCCTGGTCGCTAAAGATCAAGTAGGTGGGTCAAATATTTTGGGGYAGAAATTTTTCTGGTCGAACAGTGCTACTTATGGCAAACCTTTGTTGTTTTTTTTTCCTTCTTCTGTCTAAACACTCTGGATGAGTCACCAATACATTTCTATTTGATTTTATCCAGCTTTTGGGTCGGTATGGCTCATGGATCGCCGCCGAAGAGGTGTAAAATCTAGAGATGTACATCCGCTACAGTCTGGCGCTTTCTTCATTCACAAAATGAAAATAATTAAGTGGCAATGGTTCTGCGGTCAAATTATGATTTCCATCGATCATTTTGTGGTTAGAGACTTTCGAACTTTTCAAGGTAATATATCATTTTAGATGGATAGTTTTTTATTGYTTTTGTACTGTACATATGAGATGTTTTTCTCCGTTCGTTGGAGTGAGATCGAGAAACAGCTGTTTGTCCACACCACTGTACCTTTGTTGGACGCGATTGTACATGCTWAGCTAATCCAGTAAATAATACACACTGTTTTATAAATGAGATAATTATGTATTATTTTTTGATCGAAATGTAGGAACTGATTTCATATTAATTTTTTAAACGACAACGTCGCACCAATGAGGGTACAAGTTCATTGTTCAAAGTGTAAATTCCAACAGTCGAAAAGCTTGACTTGAGTTTTCAATTGATATAGTTGAAAAYGTCTTCATTTTCMGCACTTTCATATGTTGTCTGATCTTTTATTTCTTRAAGAACAAWTTCAAAGACARTTTMCCATTCATTCTCCAAACAGGTACTGCAACCAAATATTTGTTGATAGCATTACACAACTGTGCCATGAATAAGGAATCCCTTGATTTCCATCAGGGAGGACARCAGGGCAACAAAGTTAGGAACGATATGGCAGCAAAGGTACCACACAAAGAAACATTGAATCATTTTATGTAGAGAGGTGTCACCGGTCTCATATCATAACAATCACCCCCCTGGATGATTATATATGCTACACATGGACTATATGCATACGACCAAGAAATCTTACCAGGAACTCTTATGTACTCTTGAATGATGCTGTGTGATAAGAGGATTTTTATGCAAAGAAAAYCTCACATCAGCTGTTTTCACACAATAATATTTGTGAGGCTTGGCTAGGTGCAGATTCAGGGAAGGTATGTCAATCTTTACCTTAACTTCATTCAATTTATTACTAATGCATTAATAGAGTGAATGCACTAAATCTGTGAAACAAGTACTATTAATTACTACTAAATAGTGTTGATTAACAATAGAAAACAAAGTAATTTGCATAATTTAATATTATTTTGTACTATTTAAGCTTCATGGATTAAGTGTGTTCACTCTACCTAACCAAAGGGTAGCAAAATATTGCTATATTGTACGTCATTGTACATAGTCAAATAGCAATATAACCTCTGAGGAAGATCCAGGATTTTCCCTTAGAGAAAGATGCAATATGATTTGAAAAAAGGGTTTGCTTTGCATTTGAATTTATAGTGCAATAATTGAAGAAAATTCAAACATTTTCATGGGAGAGTTGGCAACCCCCATAACTTCTTCCCTATAAGTGACCCTAGTGTTGCCTATAGATAATATCTAATGATGTGAGATGTTGAGAAAAGAATAATACCTCTAAAATGATGCCTAAAAAGTCTTAGCAACAAATTGTGGAGTTTTTTCTACTCAATTATGTCAACTCATTCATGTCATTATAATATATCATTTAGCTGTCAAACAGAACATTACAACTATYACTAGTATACAATATAAAGAAAACTATTAATTTTTTGTGTCATTCAAAGTTAGTCACAAGTTTTGAATATGCAGGAAAAACATGACTTGTAGCAAGCAGCTCAAACTGCTAGTACTACTCTTTCCCAGTTTTCCTCAAAAACATTCAGAAACAGGGATCCCAATCATGTCACGCTTAAACTACATGGACCTGTCAAAGATTGCCTTTGGAGGGAGGGGATATTTCCAAGGTCCAACATAGTCTRTCTAAGATAAACATGTAAACAAAATTCTAAATTAGATTTCCAGTAGGGTATAGGGATGGGGGATGTTTTGCTTTCTTTAATATAGATACACTGTTAAATACATTGTAAGCACGGCAATGTTCATGCTTTTTGGTCACTATATTGACTTTCCTAGTAATCTTTCATARTTTGAACTATACTTAAGCATTTTATTTAGATTTTTTAATACAAATCAAGTATGARATCATGCTGGCTTGGAGATGTTAAGGGAGACTGGGGTCAGTCCATTTCCAATCTGACTTGTATAACATTACTTATGTTTCATATTGACCCAATAGCCTCTTAATGGATCTTCTCATTATTTTCTCTTTAATTGTCAAGTTCAATATTCTTAAGTGTAGATATTCTTGGCTTTGTAATTTATATTCCAAGGTCATGCTACTTGCTTAGTATGATATGGCAGATGCTGTGGTGATTAGCAAGCGAGATGTAATGCTGGATTTGTAATTAATAAATAATGTGAAGAAATTGACACTTAATCTAAAGCGGCACCAAAATTTATGATTAGGTCTGTACTTMTGTCACCTAAACTATTATTAAAATTTACAATGGACTACTATGAATTTAGTTATGATGATTATAAATAAAAAAAAAAACAGAGATAAAAAACTTACAGAGATTCCAATTTTGAACTTTTCATCAGATTAAAAGAGATATAGTTCTATTTTAGTCATATTTACARGAAATACAAAATGTGTTGTTGTTTAATGGTGATAACGATCATGATTATTTCACTTAAGTACCAGATATTTTTTATTAAAAAGTCAAATATACCAATAGTTACAAAGTAATTGTGTTTATCTCAACATGGCTGAATGAGTACGTGTCCTGAAAATGTCAAAGGTTGGTATTTATATCCCTGTGTTGAGTTAAATCCCAGTTTGAGAAATATGAGAACATGTCAATGTAGCATTCTGCAGTTAAATTTGAACCATGTCGAGTTAATTTGATGCTAAATACCTGTGTGACATTGATAAGTGATTGCASGTATGCAGATTTTAAGAACATATTTATAGTGCAATTTGTTATAGCGTTTAGTTGATGCTTTGTAGTATGCTTAAACACTTAAAAAAATCCAAACATGTTTTTGGATTTGTCAAGAGAAACACAAAAGTTTGTGATATCAATGAATTCAGGATGATGTGGAATGTGAGACTTGAGTTTTAGCTTCCAAACACATTAAATGGTCTGAATTTTAGCAAGAAAAATATTTTTATTGAATTTTATCATAAAATGTTTTCTTTATAATTTTTTATTTATTTACAGTATCGAAAATATTGTGATGTGAAATAATGAAATAAGTATGCAACTGTGACTAGTTGGGCTGCCTGAGGGCAACTAAATAACTTAATCAACTTTGCTATGACAAACACTTTCAATGAAGRGATAGAAATAAGTTAAATTATGTGGAAAGGAACACCCGCTGATACAAAACCCTTGCTATTGATTATTAATTTGAAAATTTCCAACTGAAAATGATAATCAATTAAAAGGTGAATTTAACAAATGCYGAATATTTTTATAACATCAAGAGTATCTTTCATCTCTTACCTATGAACATTTTCTACATGATGGAATGTGGGCTATGTTGTTGAAAAATGACCTTTGATGCATAAGACTCAAGCAGTTTGTATATTGATTCCAAACGGAAACAATATTTGATTACAAAACATTTGGTGAATGTCGATATGGTATTAGGTCACATATAATACATTATACATGTAATTGTTTCACAGTTTTGAAATTGTTACTGTAAAGATTTTTTGACATTTAGTGTTTTTGAGTCACAGAAAGACTTGAAGAGAACATTTGTTTAGACTTAATAAAGAATTCAAGTATATWATTAGAAAATTCCTTTCTTTCATGTTTACAAATAATACTGTCAAATATAAAGTAAACAAAGGTCATTTTTTATCAATCAAAAGGAAAAACATAGCTTCAGCCCAAGTGTTCTCATTTTGCTCTTTATTCATTGTCCCATGTATTCATTTACTTTCTCATTTATCCTATTTTTCTAGGCATTTTTTTCAATCATTTATTTCAGGCCATTAAGAATACTTAGGACAATTAGGTCATAATTTTTTTTATGAGAACTAAAATATGACAACAATTATTTTAATTGAAAATTTTCAGCCAAATTGATCCACTTACAAACTCTATTTAACATAACAACATTTTACCAACAGTAACTATATCTATTTTGAAATATACCTACATCAAAATAACTGCTTATAAATAGATAAGACTGTTTTGATAATGATGAAATATAAAATGTCACTTCAGATTTTCACTTATATTTCAAGGCTTTTTCTTGAATTAATCCCTCTAAACCTCTCAAGCTAAGCGATTTAATCTCTTAATCACTCAAACATAGATATATTCTTTCATAATAGTATTAGTGGTGAGACAGAATGGGCCATGAAATGCCACAGTGCAACAGGAAACATGGTTTTAGACATATTGAAGTAATCATGTATATAAAAAACAATTAAGTGCTTATGGTGATAGAAATAYCAGCCTGAGTTGCATCCAGAATTTTCTCTACTGTTTAAAACTAAAAAAAATGATTTTAAAGTTTTATAGT